GGGCCAGCCAATGATGCATTTAAGGTCAGCGAGGCGTACGATAAAAATAACGCGTGAGGCGTTGGCTCGGCGGGGACGGCGGCGGGGCGGGTCCACATGCGGGGCTGGGCAGATTATTTGTCGCGGTCGTGTGGTGGGTGACACTGATCGAGCGTTCAAGATATATACATATGTTTTGTATGTTATATATCAAACGTTTTTGGCTGGGCGAACGAGGGGACATCCGGATATCCGGAATTCTCTAGGTAATCGGACCCAAAAGTCATGCTTTTTGCCTACATTCAGGTTGAACAGGTGGTGGTGCGTTTTGCGAGGGGTCCGCAAGTACGGTCTGCCGGTGTACACATATGTTGGGCTTCCTAGTTTTCCTAGGTTTTCCTAAGGTTTTCCCGGTCTTCCCAACTTTTTCTTGGTTTTCCCAATATCTTGGTTTTCTGAGATTTTCTAAAGGCTTCTGCGGTTTTCTCGCATTTTCATCGGTCTTCCCTGACATTTCCTGGTCTTCCTTACAATTTCTAGGTCTTTCCTAAAGTTTTTCCGGTCTTCCCTTATATTTTTCGGTTTTTCGTCACGTTTGTGGCCTACGGTTTTATCGGTTTTCTTCAGTCTTCCTAGTGGTCTTCCCGGTCTTCCCAGTTTTCCGGGCGGCCAGTGTACACGCTCGAACCTAGTTGCGGACCCCTCGGCGTTTTGCGTATAGTTCCAGGCGTTTTATGCCCCCAAAAGCTAAATATTCTGCTAGCAATCTGGCAATCTTATGGCAATCTGGTGTACACTCATAACAAGGGTGTCGAGGCCCCCCGTGGGCGATAGCGAAGCCACTCTACCCCAAAAACCCCATTTTGTTTGTTTGACATCAAGTGCGATGGGTCAGTGTCGGAATTTGTTCATTCTATGGTGGCGTATGTCAATTTGACATCGAGTATCAAGTGATATCATTTGATATCAAAATGACGTTGAATCAGGCCATCAAAACCAAAATGACCAAATCAAGATACCACTTTATATCAATTTGACAAAATCGTGTTCTTTGGGAAGTGATAAAATTGCTGTAGCAGTGATCGCATTGCCCGAAAATGCGATGATTCGGGGAGCTGCTCACGTTATTTACTGCACCGAATTGAGATGCCCCCACTCCTTTTCGTACAGAACAAAATAAGAGATGATAATCAGAAATATGTGTGGTGAGTTGTAGTACTGCGCAGTTTCTCCCCTTAATTATCACAAAATTGTGCAAGACTTTTAGTTCTTCAACAAAAAATAAGCAGTCACACTGATTCACTGTAAAACACATCTCCGTAAATTTACCATAGACAGGGTGGTCTACAGACACATTCGTTTTTTCTGTACTGTACCGCATGCAGGCGTGCGTGTGGGCCTGCCCGAGGGGGGGGATCACTCATGCGAAATGTGTACAATGATTTTACGTAAAGTGACTTTTTTGACTTTTTTCTTTGACTTTTTTGACTTTTTTTGACATTTTAAAATAAATTTTTTGACTTTCAGTTCCTTTTATTTTGATTTTTTCTCGATTAGGTTACTCAAATTCAAACTTATTGACAATTTTTTTCTGATTTTGTATTGAG